GCCTTTCGGCTTTTGAGTTTCCTCGGTCTATGATGGTTGCTCCTTGAAGATCAAAGTCATGGCCAGTCTCTGCGATGTGTGCTGCAAGTTGAGAGTTTGGGTCTAGTCTCCTAGCTGCCAGTTTGTGCTTGTGAAGGCGGGTTTGCAAATTGCGGCCTGTTTCTCCTGTTTCAGGGCAATAAATCAATTGATCCGGTGCTCGACACGCCTCCTTCCTTATTCATGCAGATACCTGGAACGCGAACCTTTTCATTCATTTAAAATATGTCTTTGAAGTGGCCTATACTTCATCAATATGAACCCAAAGTATGGCGGCTCATTTCGTATGATTTCATTGAGCATTTGTTTCTGAAACATGCGAACCACTCTCGACGAACGTTGCTTTACCTCCACCTTTTCGGTCTTTGTCTGTTTCTGTGAAACAGTTGAAATCCACGAACAACAAGCTTCCTGTTGTCAAAATTTTCTGAGAACCTTGTTTCTGTTTTAAGATGATATCTGAATGGATATCAAAGATACCCATTTTAACTTCACCATTTTTGACGGTAGAATTTGGGCGTTGGTATACACAAATGTAAGTTTAAGTTTGTGCGAGATCCGTTTATAATCTCAACATAGCGGCTATGGTGTTCTTCTAACCAGCTTAGACCACCGCTTCGCAGTTGAGGTACAGTACGGCTCTGAATTCATGCAGCCTGCTGACATTTGCCCAAAATTGATACTTATTCGCTAATCGGCATTGCGTAACGTTGTTAAACTGATTATCGTGTAGCCTATTCTCAAGTTATTTCCATCACGGTAGGATACCGGTTTTTTAACGAGCTTCGTTCTGACAGCTAACAGGGCGTGTGTTCTGTAAAAAGTGACTACTTAAGTAATATGCCTTTATAGATTCAAATATATTTTATGGAAAACATAAATGAAAAAAATATTTATTGTGCTCGTTTGGTAGAAAATTATGTCTCCTTTCAATTTTATACTTAAAGAAAATGTACCTTTCGGTTTTTAACCATCGCGCGCAACAGTTTGCTCATCTAAATACTTATTTCCTTTTATTTTCTGCTTTTTTAGGCTTAAGTCTGTAATTTATTTTTTTCTTTCCTCCAATATGATCCAACCATACATCCCCTATAAATGGCGCTCCCATAAAAACCAGTAATGGGCTAGCGATATCTAAGTGCCTCGGTATATGAGACTGTTGGCGATTACAGTCTACCACCGGAATTTAACGAAAAATGTAATGTCTGGCTCCTGAAAATGTAAAAGTAGTTTATCACTATAAGTAGAAAGCAAATAGGGCTTCCTAAAGCAGCCCTATCCCCCTTGAAAATATGGCATCTCTCTCTGGCCTTATAATTTAGCTCCTAGGGTCTACCCAATAAAATGCAAGCCGAGGTAAGGCGGAAAACCAGGAAAGGATTTGTATGCTGGATTTAAAGAAAATGTAAATGTTTTTAATTATTTCGCTACAGGTGGAAGCCAGTAACTTGTGCCTGTCCGAGCCACCGCTGCTATCTCTGATCACGCCAATTGAACTAGGTAAGACGATTAACAGCGACCGCGCCATAAGCATTTCACTGCCGAAGAAACTCTACGAATCGCTTCAGCCCTTTGACTTGGAGGTTGGAACAATTCTTCAGAGCCAGCCGCGTAAGTCTTGCCGTCAAACCTATCGCTTGC